CCCTTCACTACCCAAAGGTGTCTCAGAGCGGCTTACAAACTCCTTTCCCTTCCCCACAACCTTCACCCTGTGAGGTAGGTGGGGCTGAGAGAGGTCTGACAGAAACCGCTTTTTTTTCAAGAACACCTCTGACAAAACTACGGCTTGCCCAAGGTCATCCAGCAGGTGCAAGTGGAGGAGTGAGGAATCAAACCCGGTTCTCCCAGATTACAGTCCAGGCACTGAGAAGAGCTGTCCTTGAAAAAAGAGCAGTTTCTGTCAGAGCTCTCTGAGCCCCACCTACCTCACAGGGTGTGTCTGTTGTGGGGAGGGGAAGGGAAAGGAGTTTGTAAGCCGCTCTGAGACTCCTTTGGGTAGTGAAGGGCGGGGTAGAAATACAGTCTCTTCTCTTCTTTTATACACTGCAGCAGTAGAAAAGAGTAAGAGTCCAGTAGCACCTTAATGACTAACAAAATTAGTGGTAGGGTCTGAGCTTTCCAGAGTCACTGCAGTTTTGTTAGTCATTAAGGTGCTACTGGGTCTTTTACTCTTTTCTACTGCTGCAGTGTATAGCTAAAGACATTTCACGGCCTCATAAGGAGCAAGCAAGGCACTCGATAAAGTTATTTCTTCCCGATGGCTTACAGTAATTCTCTCCGTTTCCTCACAACGGCCCAGTGAGGTAGGTTAGGCAGAGAGTGCATGACCCTCCCAAGGTCACTCAGCAAGCTTCCCTGTTAGAGCTGGGATTGAACTCTTGACCTATCCAGCGCAGGACGTTCTCCAGCTCCTTTGAGGCTCAACGCCAGTGTTCCCTCTAAGCTGAGTGAATCTCTTGCCTTGAAAACCCCATGGGGTATCCTCAGCAACATGCACAAAAGTGCCACATAAAAACAGAGAATGTTACCTAATGAGATATTGTGTATGAAAGATTTTTGTAATAAAAGAATATGAAGAGGAAAGGAGGGGATACCGCACTGTTGGAAGCCAAGTTTAGGGGAGGGGAGGAGGATAGAAATTTTAAAAAGGGGTATATCGTAAGCGAATATATATTGCTAATTGTGAGATTGTTGATATATCCTGTCAATAAAAAGTTTATGCAAAAAAGGAAAAAGAAAAGGCGGCTTGCAAGACTTCCGGGGGACGCCCAAGCACGTTCCGCAAGGACGGGAAGCCAAAAGGTGAAACGAGCTCCTCGAGCCGCCCAACCGCCGTTCCTGAGGCGGCGGGGCGCACGAGGGCGTCGGAAGTGACGTAGTTCGCGCGCCGGACGGAACTGTTGGGAGGTCGGGGGAGGCTTCCGGTTTGTGCGGGAGCCGAACTTCGGGCGCGAGGCGACGACGACGACCTGTGGAAGGGGGTGGGGAGGGGAGCGGGTCGGGAGGGAGCGAGCGAGCGAGCGGCCGCCGCCATGGCCTTGTCGGAGAGTCAGCTCAAGAAAATGCTCGGCAAGGTAAGGCGGAGAACGGCCGGTCCGTCGGCCCGACCCTCCTCAACTGGCCTGTCTCAGAGCGTCG